GCGGTTCTCAATGTGAATTGTAACCACTACCTTATACTGATTCGAAAATCGCTTTACGTTTTCGTGCCTGTGATTCCATTAGTGATACTGAGGCAGTTTGTCGGGGGAGTTGACTGAGGGCAAATGCTCTGCAACCAGTGACCAAAGCCGAGAGCAGTTCGTTCAAATTGTTGTCAAAATCAAAACGAATGCGTTAAACGGCCAATCCAATCGAACCCTTGTCTGTAAAAAAAGTTAGTGTAAAGACAGTTGGAAGAACGTGTGAGAACCCGGACACAAAAGACCACTAAATGGGCTAATTGAGAAGTGGGAGAACTGAAGTGCTGAAGCATCTACCTATATGTGAGTGGCGTGTTGAATCGTTTTTTTTTTGCGGTTAGCTTTGGCAAGGTGGCTTTATATGGTCATCTCCATGTTACCAACATAGCGACACCGGCTATTTGATACGTCGACCTCTTTCAAGGCAAAAACCTGAAGCATTCTGATCGGTTTCACTAGCCATTGTTTTGAGACACTCCCATTATGATAGGATAATACGGCGATTGTCCTATCCATTGACTGAATACATCTACCAGTGTAACGATGATACTACTGATGTGGGAGGCATGCGAGTAGTATGTTTTCTTTTGTAAATCTGCTTTGCGTCTCTGGAAAAGGGAGGTGTGTTGCGGAAGTTGTGGAGTCGCTTTGTAGCATTTTGCTTTGGGCAACGCAACAGTCAATGAATATCCAAAAAGGTTCAGGAATACGCGTTCAAGGAGAATATGGATGTTCAGTTTTTATAAACAAGATGCATATGAGAGTTTTGCTTCCCTGTCCACTAGTCTGTAACTGTTCAGTTGACATTTTCTAATAAATAACTCCACATCGAAGGCCTTCTTCCTTCCATCGGTCTCAGTGGCCAGACGGTCCTATTGTGAAATATTTATCCCATCACCATCAAGCGGGTCTTGTTTGAAACTGGCTATCCGCCTAACCATTCCCTCCCCTCAACATGCCACAATCAAATGCCCCTCCAAGCTAACCCATCGATGCAGGAGAGTTTGACAGCCCTCAACCAATGTTCTGGCCCATAGTTACATCAGCACTTATGACATGAACTCGTCCCGTTCTCCGCCGATCGATGCATCTTCGCTTGCACCAAATGAATGATCAATGTAGAAAGGATCCTCATCCAAGGGAACGCCTCACCATTCCTAATATTTTACGAAAAATCCTGTCATGAAGACACTGGATCCTACCGCGAATGATACTTTGTGTGCATCCATACTGGAGAGCGTCCCTTGATGCTCGGGACCTCTTAAATCAGGTTGGTCATTGGGTAGAGATCTCATCAACATCGGCCTCCGAATTCGGGGTTGAAAAACACGTGACGACTTGCTCCTAAAGAACTATGACAGTCTTATGCCAACAGCCGCTGCATTGAGCCAAACGCCTTGGCTGAGGACCCTCCTTTCCGGGAATTGGGGTGCGAGCAGTATCCCAGTCCATGTGCGACCATGAATTGCACAATTATGAGTGACCGCATGACACATCAGCCGGGTCTTACTACTCTCTGCATACAGTAGGGCACATAAGCAAAAACAGACTACTGTTGACACATCCGTTCTTCTTCTTTCGCATGCTCGTTCTTTCTCATCAACAAGAACGCCACTGACATCGGTTGGCAGCCATATCTTGTAGTGTCTCCAACCAGGCACAGTGAGAATCACGCGGTCCCCATCCTGGAAGGCGAGTAGCACCAACAGCACCCAAGCGTTTCGTGATCTCCTTCATACTCCTCTGCCAAGTCAAGGGTTGGCCACCTCTCTGTTTACGCCACTCCGAATTGGGCATGGAAAACAGCACTCTCTTCGGCAAACCATGGTTCGGCATACGCAACACATGTCCCAATCAACGCAGCCTCTGGTGCTGGACACATTCTTCAATGGAAGTACCCCTTACACAACCGAAAACGCGCTTTCTAACTGCCTCGTTACGGATTCGCCGACACCCACCCACACGAGCTGTGGTTCTGAGACAACGATTGTCGAACACCTGAAGACGTCTCACAGCCATACAACAAAACAGCCCGTACTGTAGCTTGATGCACACGTCCCTTCAGATTCAGCGGTAAACCATTCTGACGCCATAGGTGTCTCAAGTTAGCAAACGCGGCCCGAGTCTTGCAGATTCGTGCATTCACCTCATCTGTCACACTACAATCAGAACTAACTGGCCAACCCATAGGCTCACACTCGCTTCCGGTTGAGCATCCGGGGTTGTTAATTCTCTAAGCCAATCAGCTGAAGGGTCTACACATGGATATATATGCCACCGATAGTCACCTACGTGTGGTTCGTTGGGCAGCGTCTGTGAGAGTGGCACTTGAATATGTCGACAGTCGCTGACTGCGGGTTAACAGCTCAGGTGTTGATGTGGTTGCCGAGGGTATGAATGCGCGAGTAGTCAGACTGTGAGCCGCTGAAGCTGGTTGTCTTAGGCTATAATGGGGACAAAGGTGAGCACCTGTGACGGT